CTGCTGCTGCTGCTGCTGCTGCTGCTGCTGTTGATGATGCTGATGATGATGATGCTGATGATGATGCTGACGATGATGATGGTGACGACGACGACGACGATCATGATGATTACGATGGCGGTGGTTGGTGATGGTGGTGGTGGTGATCGTGATGATGGTGGTGGTCCTGGTGTGGGTGATGATCATGATAATCCGTCGTGAGACAGGTAAGTATTAAAGTAACCCTATGATGACGGCTCGTCATAATGTTATGCGTATACGCGAACACTTTCCGTGTCTTAGCGAACTATTCGTTCAATACACGAACCGCCGGAGACGCATATCTGCAGTCGTACATATGTATAGACGAAGCACGAGCGGTGCTAGTCGAATCTCACAATACGACAAATTTTCAAGTCTCATGTGTTTTGTTAGATTAGATGTTTTGTGGTGTTGTGCGATTGATATATTATAAATATAAATATAAAATATGATATTTATTTATAATATTTATTATATTATATATTTATATATTATGATCGTCGTTGTTGAACTGTGTCGAACGACGTCTCCGTTTATTGAAGCGGTAAGACGTATTTGAGCGTTCGTTTAATTAACGCGGTACACGTTCGGTGAGCGAGTTGACTTCGCGTCCATCGTTAACGTCCGTTAAATTATGCTCGTCGCCGTGGTGCGTTTTTTATAATCGTATTCGCGGGACGGTATTTTATTTTAAAAAATGGATATGATCTCTCTAACACCGGGCGATATATGTCGTTTGTGTTATTCACGAAAATAATATCAAATGTGTTAAATGATTATTAACATAGTGAAGTATTCACACAGTTGTCTCGTTGTTGAACGTTCTATGAATTGGGCGCACTTGAACGTCGTCCGCAGTAGGTCTGGGTTAATACGTGCGAGTGACGTGAGATACCCGATCTCGCCCGTGACCAGACTGAATAAGAATTCATATATTCTCTCATACGGCACCGGTGCGTTTTAGCGTTAAAACGCTTGCGCGTCGCGTTGCACGTGTGGTCTCGGAGTGTATAGTGACAACGAGACTCAAGTTCTCTCTGTCAGCTCCCTGGTTGATCCTGCCAGTAGTTATATGCTTGTCTCAAAGATTAAGCCATGCATGTCTCAGTGCAAGCCGTATTAAGGCGATACCGCGAATGGCTCAAT